GCTCCCGCCAGTCAAAACAAGGAACAAAGAAAAGGAGGAGTGCAGGGGCAGGATTAGAGCTTTGGAGGTCAGCGGATCAGGACAGGGAAAGATCAGCTGGCGCTAACAGCGGTGGACAAAATGAAGGGCTGGAGTTGGGAGGGTCTAATCTCCTGCTCTGGGAGGGGAAGGGTGAGAAGCGGACAGTTTCAAGACCCCCAGTACCCAGAGATGGGGCTGGGGGAGGCACCACATCCTCTGGTGAGAGATCAAATTCCTGAGGTCTGGAAAGTGTTACGTAGCATTATTCTAAACAGGGCTATGAGATAGAGCAAGCAATTACGGGCCATTTAACTTAACATCATTTACAGAAAAATATTAGGAAAAGTTTGCAGAGGGGACAACTCGACAAGCATATGGTAATTTGATTAGAAACAGGCCACATGTTTTTACTGAAGGAAGGTGTTGTTTTAACTAGCTTGTTGGACTTCTTTGAAGTTATTGCTTTCTCAAATCTGGATTTTAACTCATGATTTTTCTAATATCTGTAAAGAATGGGAATGAACATAAAGTATCTAAGTAAATAGAACAAAAAACAATCACAATCGAGGACACTAGAAATACAATGGTAAGCAAAATGAATGTTAAGACAAATAATATAGCAAGGAAAAACTTGAATTCACATCTTCTAGTAGTGTTTTAAGTCAAGATATTTCTCATGAAAGATATGTGATTTGAATTCCGGTCTGTGAATATATCTCCTATGCCATTTCCTAAAATGCTCTGCAGAAAAAAATGATTTTTGTTAGTTTCACACACACACATACACACACACACAAAACTTAGCTTTTTTTTTTTTTTCCCTTAAGTGGACTGACCTTTTGGTGTGGTTAAAAATTTGTCACATTAGGATGAATTTCTCATTAATCCAACCTTTGCACATTTTGCAAGTGCAAAATTCTCAAACAAAACGAAGACATCTTCATGGTTATTTTAAATTAAGTAATAAATCAATATAAATTTTCTCCTATTTGCATATTTTCATATCACTGAATAACTACTGAATCTTCAGAAGGAGAATCAGAAAGAATGAAAATCAGGTTAAAGAAAGAATAAAAATATCAAAGTACTTATTAATGTTTGCCTGAAGCCTTTATTATACCTTCTTATCTATTTTTTACTGATTAATCTGTACAATTCACGATGTGTCATTCTACTTTCAAAAGGTACTAGATTTAAGTAACTGATGCACACCTCTGTCTGTACAGTCTCCACGAGGGGAGGGGGGATGTGTCTGTTTTGTTCATACTGTATTCCCGGGGTCTCAAAGTGTGTGGTAAATATTTGGTGAATGAATGAATGAATAAATAACAATGACAGCATCGATACTGGGTATTTCACTGTGTGCCATATACTGTTTTAATAAGCGTTTTGTATAATTGACTGTTAATTCTTCAACACTTCTATAAACTTCTTGCCCTTCTGTTAATCCCATTTTTAAAGACAAGGAAACAGAGGCACTGAGAAGTTGAGTAACTTGCCTAAGGTCACGCAGCTACTCATTGACTGTTCTTGAACTCAGGCAGTCTGACCCTGGGGCCTGCATGTAAGCACTACACCACTACTTCTTCTCTGCGATTGCAATGCGTCTGTGTATAAACGGCTGCATATATAGGAAATTACATACAAGATGGGAGTTTTAAGAGGCATGGAACTCAAGTGTTAATGTCGCCATCACCAAATACTGGAATTCAGGGGGCAATGGGAGATTTAAAGTCTAATTTCCTGGATCAAGATCTTCACAGAAGCAAAACTCCTAAACATTTAAAGGAGACACAGAGATTTATAGGCAAAGAACCAAAAGAATGTGACTCCATTCAGCTCTAACTGGATGCTAAAGTCCTTAGCTCAGAACAAAAACTTTCAAGACTTTCCATGTTGGTAACAGAAGCAAGATTTAAGGTTTTGTGGTGGCTAAATCAATGAGGACAAAAATTACTGGTGTGTGTGGAAATATGTTCTCTATGGACTCATTGGTGGCCTCTTTTGGGTTAGTGCTGCCCTATGCTGGGTAAAGAGCCTTTTTAAAAACTAGCCTGGGGGCGCCTGGGTGGCTCAGTCGTTAAGCATCTGCCTTCGGCTCAGGTCATGGTCCCAGGGTCCTGGGTTCGAGCCCCGCATCGGGCTCCCTGCTCCACGGGAAGCCTGCTTCTCCCTCTCACCCTCCCCCTGCTTGTGTTCCTTCTCTCGCTGTGTCTCTGTCAAAAACAAACAAACAAACAAAAAAACTAGCCTGAATCTTACTTAAAAAAACAACAACATAAAGGTCTATGTTCCTTTAATTGCATTAGGATATTGATGTTCTGAGACCCGATATATTCTTATTACTTAATGGTATTTTTTTTCCCTTATCAATCATTCTGGAACCATTACACTCTAAGATTTCGTTTATGCCTTTTGGCTTTGAAGTGCCTTATGTGCTGAAAATCTTGGAGGGTACATGATTCAAGCTGATCAGGAGATCAGACTTTTAAAAGAATTCAAGAAAGAAAGAAAAAAGCCTCTGTCACTTGCAAGATAGATTTAAGACACTGAAATGGGAAGGATCTAATTAAGACATGGGAGAATTCCATGTCCATCCTACACTGAGTACTGACAAAACTCAAGAGAAGCTGGGCGCTTTTCAGGACTCATGCTCCATGACTCTAGATGTGTTGGCTGTTAGAACTCCACACCTAAGTGAAAGCTCATTTACAAGTCGGTCTCCAGTTCTGGTCACCTTTCAACTGGGAGAGTACGATCACCCCTAAGGCAATTCAACATAAGTCTGTCAAGCTGGTCCAAGTTTTGGGAAAACTTGTTGTTCTGAGCAATGAGGTTAAAAGTTTAGTCTCACCATACAAGAAAAGCTTGTCCAACAGAATACTAAGTTGAAGTAGGATGAACAAAAATAATGCAGCCTAAAGGCTTAGAAAGATGAAATGCAGTTAGAAATCCCAAATCAAGCCAGGAATTCCAAATCAAAAGGGAATCTGGGGTGAGAGCTCCAGCAGTGAAAAACTAAAGCAAGCATATGCAATAAGATGCTGCGCTTCTGTTCAAACAACATCAGTGTAAACAGAATTGCAGAACAGGTATGATGATGACATTTGCATGAATAAAAGAAATGAGAGGAGGGATGCAGTGTTAGGGCAGGAAAGAGGGGTCGATACAGACTCCAAGAACCGTCTTGTTAGTCTAAGGGTCCTTTTCCTGTTCAGCAAATTCTTTTGTTCTGTGTCCTTATCAATCCCACACCTTGCCTAAGTAAGAAAGACAGACAAGCCATTCTTAATGACTTCCTAGCTTTTGAAACTATTTTGGTGTTGGAGAGAGAAAGAACCATGTTTAAATTGTTACAAGGATTGAGGTTTCTGTTGGCTCAGTAAATTTTCCACTCTGAGATGACAACGTTTGTCAGTGCGGACGGAAACAAATTTGTCCATTTATGTAATCTGTGCCATGTTCCAGAAAAATGACACCCTTGTGGCACCTCTTTGGGGCAGGGGAGCGAAGGCAGGGTGGCTAGGGGGCTCCACAGACAGGCATCCCTGGCTGTGCTGGTATCTTCCTCCCCCAGAGACGGAGCACATCCTCTCCCTCGCACACCCACTTGCCGGTAGCACAGGGAGCCATTGTTCACTGCGTGTCAAAGACCCAGCCACGCCCTGGGCCAGGACAATGCTCGGACTCTACAGCCCTAGTCTCTGAGCACTGCTGATTTCCTTTCCTTTTTATTCCCCCCTGTGTGGAAGAGTCCACAAAATGAATTTTTTCTTTTGTTTAAAACAGGACATTTTAAAGGGTGGTTACTGATGACACACTCACTTTCAGTCTCTCTTCACTGGGGTTTTCCTAGTCTCTGCAGTGTTGTACAACAGATAGGAATTTGGTTCAAAGCACAGATAAAATGGGTTCTATTTTCAGAGCAAATGTATATTTCATTAGGTAACATCTGAACATTTCTCTCTGAAGATGCTGCTTTCTCTTATCTTTAGATATATTTAACATGTTGGGTTTTGTCACACAGTGTGAAAGTAGACCACATGAAAGTGATTAACACCAAGCTAGAAATTTTTATAAATTTAGGAAAGGAGGATGTTATATCCTAACAACCTATAGGTCATTTCTTAATACAGAAAACTTTTGTATTCATCCGCTCATCAGTCAATGTTTATGAAGCACCTACTTTTTATAGCCTAAGATATTAAAATAAAAGTCCTTATCGTCAAAGAATTTGCAGTTTGGTAAAGAGAAGGTCATGTAAACAATGAGTACAATAAATTATAGGTGTTATAGCATAATTATGTATAGTGTATAACGTAGATACAAATGAAGGAGGAGAAATTTTAGTGGTAGCAGTATATTGACCAGAAAAGGATTCATAGACAGGACAGTATGTGATCGAAATCTTAAAAAATGTACAGGGGGATCCTTTATGGCTTAGGTTTGTGTGAGTGTGTGTGGGTGTCTATGAGTGTGTGTACATGTGTGAGTGCATGTGTGTAAGGAAAGGCAAACCGCCCTCCTGATCTCGAGGTCCTGCAGGTCATGGAGGGCCTTGTAAATCAGACATCCTTCCTGTCCTGTAGGTATCAGGGATCAACTATCAAAGCTAATAATGTGAGGAGACCTGCCTTTGATAGAAGTCTCCATTTCTCAAATCAACTATTTCCTTGGCTTAGGAAAGAAGGACGTTATGTTCTAACGATCTATATGTCATTTCTTAATACAGAAAACTTTTGTATTCATCCACTCATCAGTCAATATTTGTCTTCCTTTATAAAGCAATGGATTATGTGGTGAGGATAACATCTCAAATTCAATTCACTGTATTCTGGTTTGGGAACTGCTTACTGAAGGATGTCAGAGAACCCAGTGGAAAGCTTTGAAAGCTGGCTGTGGATATTCAGTGAGAACATCCTCCCAGCCAGCCAGCCAGCCAAATGTGGCCATGCCCTGGGTGGCCAGGGAGTCCTTACCACTTCGGTTGGTCGGTAGTATTTGAGATCCACAGTCACGTGAACTTTGCCGGTCTCTTTACATCTGCCCACTTCATTTTCATTCTTTCCTTCCCACCTGTAAAGGAGATAAATACTTAATCAGCCTCTAATTGCTTGGGGGCATTTGTCACATTGTAGTCCCTTGGGACGGCTCAGCCTTCTCCCTGCGGGAGTGTATAAGCTCATTAACTACAGGAATACAAGCTGAAGTGTAACCACGTTATCCGGGCAACAGTGACTTTCAAAGCCTTTCCAGATCTGTTTCGAAAGGGCAGGTTTTATTTTCTTTCTTTTTAAGAAAATCATGACGGGTTCTGTTCATGATGAACAGAATAGCCAGAATAAGGAATTAGACAACTTTCAGGGAGTTCAAAGATCTGTACTCCTTTAGACTACTCTTGATAACTATCAATTATTATGAATTAATTAATGTCTTCTGTGTCCCCTTTATTTTTTTTTAATTTTGTAGTTATGTTTTAGGGATATTTATTGTAACTTCAATGCATTCCAGTTTGGAATAAGTTTCATGCCCTAAATTAACCATTCATCTCATCTTTGTATTATATATAAGTTCCCTTGCTCTACCCAGTCAGCAGTAGGCCACATTAATAAATCTCAGATGATTAAACCTCCAAAAAGTATACAAGTGGTTTATGCCTGCTAAGAGAGTGTGTATTAGCATCTCTGATTCAGCTACAGTGTTCTTTGGACTTAGGTTTTTCTTCCTTAAACATCCACTGTTGGAAAGAGTACCCCCCTCAAGTCTATATGGTGAATTGTGCAGCATATGCTCATAAGCTTCAAGACCAGCTTGCTGGGATTCCATTTTATGTTCTCATTTTTAAAGAAATGAAGGTACTGTTAACCTCTGGATTTCTACAATCTAATATCCAAGCAACAGATGATACACAATTAAAATTATTTTTACAAATGAAACTTTTCAGGAAAGAAAGAAAAGAAATTACAAAGTAATGTTTGACTTCAATGCTTATTTTCAGAACTAGTTTGCTTTATCAGTTGGAGATGAATCCTATGACAACAGGACAATTTTGTGTGTTCCCTGGATCAGAGTCATAGTGGGGATGAAAGGAAAGAACAGAGCATTAAATTAGTTACTTGGCTATGTCATTCACATGTGTTATTGAAGATGAACATTAACTGTTGATCATGGTTATACTTTGGACATAGGTTGGGTATTAGAGATATAAACTACCCTTACAAGCTTTATTCCCCCAAAATCATCTGAATGTTCTATCCTCAGTTTATTCTTTTATAGCAGAGGGATAATATTTCATTGTTGGAAAAAATCAGTTTAGAAGTACACTGAATTGGTCAATGGACTCAAGGCAAACACGAAAACATCCCATAACACACAAAGAATTAATAGTGTACACTGAACAATGGAAAACTGCACAACTGGCATTTTTCTATGACTTTTATATTAATTAGTTGCCTCAAAAAGGTGTGTTTGGTAATTTACTTCTTTGGTTTAATTTCTTACTATTGATTAGACTAATTTGGCAGGATCAGAGCTATGTTTTTGGAAAAATCACCTGGAAATGGTATGTGGATGCTTTAGAGCACACAGACTAAAAATACTGTAAAATTAGAAAACCTAAATGGTGATAAACCCTGTACATCTCTTTTTTAAAAAGATTTATTTATTTTTAGAGAAAGAGAGAGAGAGCAAGAGGGCCCAAGCACGTAAGAGCAGGGGAGGGGTGTGGGGAGGGACAGAGGGAGAGTGAGAATCTCCAGCAGACTCCCCGCTGAGCATGGAGACCCACGGGGGTGGGGGTGGGGGGCTCGATCTCACGACTCGATCTCACAACCCTGAGATCATGACCTGAGCCAAAATCAAGAGTCAGACACTCAACCGACTGAGCCACCCAGGCGCCCCATCCTTGTACATCTCTTAAGGAAAAGACCAAATCTTGACAAATATCTACAGTAAGGGAAAATAACTGGTAAAATCATTTTTTTTTTAAATTACCTATCTAATTCCAAAGTTAATAGTTTAAGTGGAGGCTTCTCTTTGGTTAGGCTTTCAGTAAGTGAAAGGATATTTGTACCTCATAAGCATGTTTGTATTTTTGTTCCTATTTTATACTCACCCAAGAGAAACCAGTTCAGCATATGTCTTCCTGACCGTTATCTCCCACTAAGCCAAAAGGGTTAACAAAATTACTGCTCATAGTGTTGCTGTTTTCCCCCAAGGCAGCTAGGCATGTAACCTATCACGGGTCATGCTGACTCGAGTGCACACATACATATTGGTAACACTGTCCTTCGTATTGATAAATCTGCTCAGATGCCACAAACCTGAGAACTGGAGATGCAAATCTATTTTTAATTGTTTTCTTGAAATCACACAGGAACACACACATATTTAAGTTGCTGAAGGCCTGGGAGAGACATTGCCTGACTGGGGAGGGAGCCCGTGGGGCAGGGACGGAATGAGGCAGAGCCAGCTGTCTCTAGAGCAGGGGCTGACAAACTGTTGCTGTGAAGAGCCAGAAAGTAAATATTGTAGGCTTTACAGATCACACACCGTCTCTGTTACGTATTCCTCCCTTTTCTCCTCTCCCTTGTTTTTTTCCTCCTCTTTATTTTTTTTTTTTTAAACTACCCTTTAAAACTGTAAAAACATCCTTACAGGACAGGTAGAAAACAGGCGGGGTTTGGGCCTGTAGGCCAGGGGTTGCTCACCCCTGCTTTAGGGGATGAGTTACTGGTATATCCTCACCCGCAGCTAAAAGAAAACATTTAATTCCCATTTATACCAACCGGTTGCATTGCTGGACCAGCTTGAATTTTCCTGTTTACCACTGATTCCCTTTGACTGCTCTGCAGCCATATGCTAACATCTGGGATCGGTAAAGAGTAGTTGAAATGGGAAAAGACTGATGGAAGGAATCTGCAAGTTAGATTTGAGGTTGATGCCACTTGGGCACCTGTGGGTATGAGCTGCGGGCACACAGGCCTTCTTGGTCTCTGTCTGAATACTGCCTGCTGGGCGGCCATCTTGCAAATGCTGTCTACAGTCCAAACCATCTCTAGGGGCACGGCATTGCCCCTACAATTAATCTAGTTGCACTGAATAATCAGCTGTAATCAGGAAATGGCTCAAAGCAGAACGGAGTTGGCAAAAAACACTTTGCAATTTGCACTAGGTCTGCATGAGGGCAGTAAGCAAAAGTTTCGGCCAAGGGCCAAAAAACTTTCAGTTACAACAATACACAAAACACTTGTATTAACAAGTAAAAGGTAACAGCTAACTTGTCCTAACAAGCAATGTTGTGACTCAAAGCAGAGCTGGGATGTTAAGAAAGGAAGGTGGCTTGACAGGGAGTCAAGGATTCAGCTAATTAACAGGAATTGTTATCCTCCAATTTAGATCAGCAGCTCTCTGAGCAGAAGCCCTGTATAATTCAATTTTTAAAATACATTGTTGGTTCCTAATAAGCATTAAATGGCAATAGAAAGCATTCAAGAATAACAGAATCAAGCACAATAAGGCAAGATGAGGTGCTATTAAAATCTACTCAACTAGGAATTCCTTTAATGAACAATAAAAGCAAAGTCAGCTGTATTAGGCTTAGGAGACAGAGCTAAAGTAAGGGAGGGGACGATGCACTCCTTATAGCAACCTGAATATCACCAAAGCGCTCAGGAATTATTTTTAAAACTACTATTTTATTAGGACACAGATATTGAAATAGGAGGCTGCCACAGGCTACAATTTAGAAAATGACATAAATTCGTCCTAGAAGAATTATTAGGTTCTGGATAAAGGTGGTGGTTTGTACACTTTTGCTCCTTCCCCAGACCCCTTTCAAAAGGGGAATGAACTCACAAGGGCTAAAAGAACAAGAAAGAGACAAGAGGAACCAAATTCTGGAAGGTAGAAAGCCAGATGGATGAGTGTTAAAGGACTTAGCAGAAGCCCTAGAAAACAGACTCCTAAGCCAGCAGTGGGGAAGCTGAGAATGAACCCAATTTACACTTGCAGAAGCCCTCAGATGTCAGGAAGTGAGGGCGGATTACTTACTACTCTCCCTGAGAAGCAGTGTGTTGCCCAGTCCCCTCCCAGATTCCACATCACTTGGCAACTGCCTCGCCCTCCCTGGAGAACAAGGTCCCAGGACTGAAGGTCACTGGGCTTGCAAAGGGTGGGGTCACCATGCTGAAAAGAAGGAAAAATTCAGGGAAGTCTGTGTGCTGAATGGGGAGACTCCCCAGGGCTCTGGCAGTCAGGCATATCTCCTTCCAGGCAGAAGACTTTCCTCTGGGCATCAGAGATTCTCCAACTAAATGGTCCTGTTACGTCTCCCTATTGTGACACAGTCAGCAAGCCCTAACCATGTTCTTAAAAACTCCCAATTAGCCTCTTAGGCTCCCACTTCAAAAAAAAATTATTTTACTTTTTTAATTTGAAGAGTTAACAATTTATTTATTTATTTATCTATTTATTTAGTTTCAGGGGTAGAATTTAGTGATGTTGCAACTCATGTTGCAAATAACACCAGTGCTCATTACATTAAATGCCCTCCTTAATGCCCATCACCCAATTACCCCAACCCCCTCCCACCTCCCCTCTAGCAACCCTCAGTTTGTTTTCTAGTTAAGAGTCTCTTATGGTTTGCCTCCTTCTCTATTTTCATCTTATCTTTTTCTTTCCCTTCTCCTATGATCATCTGTTCTGTTTCTTAAATTCCACATATGAGTGAAATCATATGATGTTTGTCTTTCTGTTCTACCCACATTGTTGCAAATGGTAAGATTTCATTCTTTTTGATGGCTGAGTAATATTCCATTGTGTGTGTGTGTGTATACACACACACATACATACATACACCACCTCTTCTTTATCCATTCATCTGTCAATGACATCTAGGCTCTTTCCATATTTTGGCAATTGTGGACATTGTTGCTATAAACATTGGGGTGCAGGTGTCCCTTCGAATCACTATGTTTGCATCCTTTGGATAAATACCTATCAGTGTAATTGCTGGGTTGTAGGGTAGCTCTATTTTTAACTTTTTGAGGAACCTCCATACAGTTTTCTAGACTGAC